GTGTGTGTGTGTGTGTGTGTGTGTGTGTGTGTGTGTGTGTGTGTGTGTACCCCTCGGTGAAAGCCCTGGCAGTTGGTACAGGTTCCTCTGAGAAAGACATAGGAGTTCTGGCTGACCTCGTAGATGGACTGGGCTTTGCAGGACACACACTCCAGATACACCATGGGAATGTGGCCGCTCTGCACGAGCACCTGCCACAAAAACACACATCTCACAAATTAACAGCTCAGAAAGCAGATAACAGAGTTTTTCTGTAGCATAGTGTTACTTTTGGCTTTTAGCTAGCATTTGGAAACTTTTAATTTTTAGTTCATGCTCTGCTTCTTCAGTTCAGTTTTAGCTTCTTCAGAAAATTTGAGCAAAGTCGTTCAGCACTTTACATTTCTGCAGAAAATTGAATTTCTCTAGTTATCGTGATGCATTTGAGGATGACAATGACTCAGAGTTACAGCATATTAATAAAACTACCAGAGTCTGTGTCCACTTACAGTCTGTGTGGTGGATTCTGGAGTCATGCCGTCTTTGCCGATGGTCAGTTTGAACGTGTACTCCACGCCTGCTTCCAGCTCAGAGCTAGAGATTCCCAGAACAGGACCACTGGAGCCGAGGCCAAAGTTCAGACTAGAGCAGTGCTCTGGACCCTGGGAACAGATATTACAGTGGTCTTATTGTAAAGTTCTAAATTGTCACTAGAAGAGCGTGAAAAGTTGTTTCTCTCTCATTTACCCTGCTTCATGCTCAATAACCACTAGAGATGAGTACCAGCTCTTTGTGGCTTTACTTGAGGCAACAACATGAATGAATGTTTGGCTCCAGGCAGTATTATTGTTGCAGTCGTAATCAGGTAGAACGACTTAACAGAAAAAGAGTAAAAATGCAGCCAAAGTACCAAGAAAAAGCTTTGAAAGGCACTCAGATTGACCAAGGTCACTCAAAAAATGATAAAAAAAATTCCATTTGAAAACTACAATATAATACAATTTAAAGTGGTTTAAAATGTTTGAATTGTGCTGCTTCTTTTGTAAACTGCACTCTCCTCCCTTCTTATCAGCTTTGCTGCTGGCTGTGTGTTTGTGTCGATGTGTGAATGTGTGATACTGTTGATGTGGACTCTGTAATTGTCAGGGTGGGGAGCTAAACTCTCGCTGTGGAATGCTAACAGATACATAACCCTTTACATGCCTGCACAAACTCCAAGACACACACACCTATACACTTTAAACACCTTTTAGTGATAAATATTATGACTTATTTCATTTAAGCTTGAGCTAAAAACCATTATCTTCAAAAGGGTTTCTGAACAATAAGTCTGCAGCTTCTGAAAGTGCTCAGGTTCTTGTGAAAACATCTCAAACACAGACACACCCTTCACATCAGGACTGACTTTTTGGTCTTTAGATGCTCCAACAGAATGTGTTGCAGCCACACCAGTAAAGCAGTAAGTGTGGAAAAATGATAAATCCACACACACCCTCAACGACTTTTCTAAAATGTTACTTTTGCCACATAAACACTGCCAAGCTATTTGTTTCCACAAATTCTTCTAAATAATCTCAACCATGTAAAATCTGCTTTTTAAATCTTACCATAAAATAGTAACACTCACTTTGAAAGTTTAAACTCTTTTGGTTTATTTGATTCAAATAATACAGAGAAAGCAGCAAAAAGCTGATAATTCAGTTGAGCCAGAGGAGAAAAGACAAAACAGATATGATTTTCTTTATTTAATGATATGGTGAATTGCCCAAAGAAATGTCCAACTCCATTTTGTGTTTCCTTCTTTAATGATCTGCCTGCATGACAGGACAGAGCAAAGCCGTTTTTTTGTCACCTGTCTTTACCTTAGAAGTACTCTGACAGTCCCAGTGGTAATGAAGAAGAGCCTGACTGTCTGAGTTCATGTTGGGGTCGTAGGACTGCTCCGCACTGAGCTGCAGGTCCTGAGTCCTGGACCACACCCTGTGCGTCCCTCCTTCAATAATGGGCTTCAGCCTGAAAAGAAAATTGGAAACAATTGTTTATTTTTTTAGGCAAACTTGGAGCTATGCTTTTGTAGAGGTACATAAAAATGAAGAATGGTGAGTCTAAATTTGCTATCCTGTTGAAGTGCTTAAGATTTTTATTCAAAGTTATGTGTTATTATTATGTATTATGGTCAAAAAAGTTGATTTTTGGTAAAAGTCAGCGTTTAATGGTGAATCAACCATCAAACAGTCATCCAATTCTAACTATTAACCAGTGTTGAAAAAGATGTTATTGAATCAATGAAATGCCAACGCCTAATCAATGTTGATTTAACACTGATGTTGTATCAGTTATGGTTGAAAATCTAACATTGTTTCAACAAGTAAGTCACCGATCACTTTTTGTATAATTTTAACATGGATTCAATATCATGTCTGACCATAGTTCAATACTGATTCACTCAAATTTTACTATCTGAGTTATTATTTTGTCTGAATTGACAAGCTATAAACTAGTCCGAACAGGACAAAATCCAAGTGGATTGCTGCTGTCTATAAAAAGTTTCAGTCTCTATTTCATGATAATTCAGGCAAAACACTATCAACTAGTGCTGGGGGTATACCGTTTTGTACCAAAAACCGGTTTTTGTTTTTGATATATAAATTTTCTGAATACCGGACATACTGGTTTAAATAACCTGAACACATTCAAAACGTTGCGTTGCGGCCGCCAGTGAACTGTTTCCTGGGGGACACTTTTCCTCAGAGCATTGCTATGTGTGTTAGCATGCTAATGTTATTGTTGGAGCAGCTTGTTTGACAAACTGGCTGCGGGTCGTGTTTCAGCTGCTTATATTGACTGAAGTAAAAAAAAAAATCCTGTTTTCAGCATCGCTGAATGTAGTAAACAACTCTTCAGTGACGTGCACGGTTAGATTTAACGTGCAACGTTATAATGGAGACGTTAATGCGTGGAGACTTTAACGTGCTTCTATTGTGAAAAGCCCGGGGGAAGTAGTTTTGTAGTAGAGCTGTGTTGACAGGTGTGCAAGGTGATTCGTAAGTTTTATTAACACAAGAATAGACCCGATGATCTTTTCTCAACGCTTCACGATCGGACCAAAATGCATGATTACTGTCTACAACCAGACAAAGAAAAGACGTACAAGAGGAGGGAAACACAGACAGAGGTACAGTAAAAGAAAAAAGCCAATAATCAACATTTGTACATTTTATTATCAGCTGAGCTGTGATGAAAAAAATACACCGTCAAATAGTGAAACCGGTGTAATTGTTGAAAATACCGTGATATAAAATTTGGGTCATACCGCCCGGCTCTACTATCAGCCTGTGTGACTTTAGCGTAGATCGTTATTCTCGTAGAGCTATTACAACATACTTGTCGTAGACTCACCCAGGCTGCACCAGGAATAGTAATACTGCTTTTTGTGCTTGTAAATAATTTAATTTTATATAAACACCTGTGTAATGCAAAACTTCACCAATGTAAAGGTTTCTATGAAATGGTTTAAATAGTGGTATTTTAACGACATCCGTCGGATAGTCGAACCTCGGATTCAGGAAGAGCAGTGTGGTTTTCGTCCTGGTCGTGGAACACTGGACCAGCTCTACACCCTCAGCAGGGTCCTGGAGGGTGCATGGGAGTTCGCCCAACCGGTCTACATGTGTTTTGTGGACTTGGAGAAGGCGTTCGACCGTGTCCCAAGGGGGGCCTTGTGGGGGGTTCTCCGGGAGTATGGGGTACCGGGCCACTTGATACGGGCTGTCAGGTCCTTGTACGACCGGTGTCAGAGTCTGGTTCGCATTGACGGCAGTAAGTCGGGCTCGTTTCCGGTGAGAGTTGGACTCCGCCAAGGCTGCCCTTTGTCACCGATTCTGTTCATTACTTTCATGGACAGAATTTCTAGGCGCAGCCGAGGTGTTGAGGGGATCCGTTTTGGTGGTCTTAGGATCGCATCTCTGCTTTTTGCGGATGATGTGGTCCTGTTGGCTTCATCGGAACGAGATCTGCAGCTCTCGCTGGAGCGGTTCGCGGCCGAGTGCGAAGCGGCCGGGATGAAGCTCAGTGCCTCCAAATCCGAGGCCATGGTCTTGAGCCGGAAAAGGGCAGAGTGCCTTCTCCGGGTCAGGGGGGTCGCCCTGTCTCAAGTGGAGGAGTTTAAGTATCTGGGGATCTTGTTCACGAATGGGGGAAGAACGGAGCGGGAGATCGACAGGCGGATTGGCGCAGCGTCTGCTGTAAAGCGGGCACTGTACCGGTCCGTCGTGGTGAAGAGAGAGCTGAGTCAGAAAGCGAAGCTCTCGATTTACCGGTCGATCTACGTTCCTACCCTCATCTATGGTCATGAGCTCTGGGTCATGACCGAAAGAACGAGGTCCCGGATACAAGCGGCCGAAATGGGTTTCCTCCGCAGGGTTGCTGGGCTCTCCCTTAGAGATAGGGTGAGAAGCTCAGTCATCCGGGAGGGACTCAGAGTAGAGCCGCTGCTCCTCCACGTCGAGAGGAGCCAGTTGAGGTGGCTCGGGCATCTGGTAAGGATGCCTCCTGGACGCCTCCCTGGTGAGGTATTCCGGGCACGTCCCACCGGGAGGAGGCCCCGAGGAAGACCCAGGACACGCTGGAGGGACTATGTCTCTCGGCTGGCCTGGGAACGCCTTGGGGTTCCCCCGGAGGAGCTGGAAGAAGTGGCTGGGGAGAGGGAGGTCTGGGCCTCCCTTCTGAAGCTGCTGCCCCCGCGACCCGACCCCGGATAGGCGGAAGAAAATGGATGGATGGATGGATGGATTTTAACGACAGCAGCCATCTACTTTAGTCATGGATTAGTCATTAGTTTGTCATACAAATACTGTAGAACTAAACTATTTCTACAAAGTGAAGTTACTCAGAGCTAAAATAAGCAAGATATTCAACACCTTCGCCACAAAACTCTACTTCTATTTATAGTATGAAGAATTAGTTTAAGCAAATGTTTGGGGGTAAAAGTTCTTGAAATATTCTAATATGTATATATATACGTATATATATTTTTTACTTACTTTGCAGCCATGACACTGAGCTGAAGACAGGCAGCCTTCCTCAGAGGAACACCTTTGTAGGACAGGGAAAACACTAAGCTGTAGTTCCCTGCAGCCAAAGCCATCTTTGGTAGCCGCAGCTGCAGTCGCCGCGTGTCCACCTCCACCGGCAGGCGGACTGCTCTGCCAGGAGAAAACAGAGACGGTTCCGATGCAGGGGGCAAAGAGTTGTCTCTCACGATCTCATCACTACAGGAGGATCTTGGGAATATCTGCCAGAGGTACTGAGCGCCGTAGCGTTTACAACCTTTCAGATCCACGCTGGCTTCCACCAAAGTGGACTGAGAGCGCCAGATGACCAGGCGGGTCTGAGTCACGTGTACTTCCGGCTCCTCACACTCTAAAACGCGAATGTTTACCTCCACCTGAGCCAAAACCCAGCTCACCAGGTTACTGCAGTTTACCTGTCAGGAAGAAAAGAGACAGTCTGGTGAAGATAAAAAACACCTGAGAGGATTTCAAACGTCCACTCACAAAATCAGTGAAATTAACCTATTTGATATATCAGTAAGAGAAGAACAGAAAATGCACTTACTTGGACCAGGTAGTGTCCTGGGTGTCTGTACTTATAGCCAACAGTGGTGATGTTGGATAGAACTGGTGTAGTGCCATCACCAAAGTTCCACAGGCACTCCACAAGATTTGGTTTGGGTCTGATAGATGCCATCAGGGTGATGGTCTTGTTGATGAAAGTGTCCTGTGGCACTGCGTACAGGCTGGCATCCTTCAGGAGGTGCTGCACCAGGATGTGCTTGGTGATGTTCTGACTATGTAGGTTGTTAAGGGCATTCAGATAGATGATCAACAAGCCTGGTACTTCTGGAGTATAAGGCACCTGAGGGGAAGATACATCGATATTCAGACAAGTGATACTGGTACAGTGATTATGCATCTGATTAAGGTTTTAATAAGTAACCAGACCTCTTTAGCCCAGGTTGATGCCTTATGGTGGTGTAGATCAAAGGTCCACAGGAAGGTAATAGGTTTGCCTGTCAGGGTTTTGGCCACAAACAATCTTGTTACTCCCACAGGGATTGCTGGGCTGAGTCCCTGGATGGAAAGTCCACTCACCGGTTCCATCACCTCCACTTGTATTTGTTTGCTTTTGGAATGCACCTGGATCATCATTTTGAAACATGCATCTATTACATTCATTTATTTTTAATACGTTTCACCACACAAATGAGAAATCATAAAGTTTTATATTATTCTGTGATCAGTTTTTGCACCGAAGGGTTAACAACATGATCTGTTTTCCTTCCTACATCCTTGGTGAGATTCAGGTGTGTGTGTGTGAATTCTTATGATAAACAAATATAATATTGAAAAGTGAATAAAAGTAAGAAAAAAACGTCCTAAAAGTTGATGCTTCTTTACATATTTTGCAGTATTGTTTGTGAGTTTGCAAAAGGGGGATCCACGTCTAGAAGCTACTGCCGTTTGTGGGCCTTGACATGGAAAGGTTTGGGAAACACTGATCTAGGACACATTTACAGACTGAGGTCCCTTTACAAAGCAGAATTTTATTTGAAATTTTCACTGCCTTCAGCAGTTTCTCTCAGATAGGAGGCAGAAATACCCAGACCTTCCAGGACAATCAGTTCTTCATATCATACCCAACTGTTTTTTACACAAATATGAAAAATATCATTAGTTTATATTACTTACTTTTTCTGCTCATCAGGCCTGAGCAGCAATAACCTATTCTATTCTATTCTATTCTATTCTATTCTATTCTATTCTATTCTATTCTATTCTATTCTATTCTATTCTATTCTATTCTATTCTATTCTATTCTATTCTATTCTATTCTATTCTAACTTAAAATATGCATTCGGAACGTGCCTTAGTTATGACCACATCTAATTTTAGTTTAATGTCTGCAAAGTTGACAAGATTCTAAACACGTTTTGTGTTTGTCAAAAGTAAATCTTTAACATCAGTGTAAAAACAGACTTATTCCTGTTATCTGTCTTTGTTTACTTTACCTGGTTGTAAGCAGTAAGGTTCACCATGTAGGTATCCACTCTGCTGAAGAAGTGAGTGTAGGTTTGGTTAAGCGGAGGGAATACAGTTGCATCGCCACTGATGCTGAGGATCAGGTTAACATCTGAACCCCCTATCACCAGAATGGTGAACTCCACCTTTTCATTAAGTGCTGCAAATCTCTTACTCGCCCTCAGATCCAAATCCTGAATTTTGTCCTGAACAAAGAACTCCCTGGAAACCACTTGTCCACTAACGTCATTGGTTGCATTCAATGTGATGACGGCTGTCTTTGGCTCTGAAAAAATCAGAGAGGTCCGTCTCCCCTCTTGAGTTCTTCCTTCCAGCAGCCACATCCATGTCACATCGGTTCCTGTCAGTACCTCCCCCTGTAGAGAGACGCCGACTCCCGTTGCCACATAACTCTGATTACTCCCATTGGTAGAGAAACTTAACCCAGAAATGATTTCTTGAGCATGAATATGTTTTGTTGCAACCTCTGAGCTAACTTCATTGAAGACCTCTACTGACACTTGTTTTAGACCTGGACTGGTGAAGGTGTGGGTTAACCAGGGTGTGCTCCAGTTCAGATAGTTCCCATTCACGGACCACCGATACTGCAGATCTGAACCTTCCAAAACCTCTACACTCAGGTTTGTTGGAACACCGACCGCCACTCGGTCATTGCTGATCAGCAGATTCACTCCTCCAGGTGGTTTGACAAAAAAGATGGTCTTGTTGACTGACAGCTGGCCGAGAAGATTCGCTGCTTGCAGGAAGATCTCACATGGACCAGACTTTGAGAAATTAAGCTCCACAGTTTTCCCACTTGCATTGAATGAGCTGCCAGGGTCCAATTTTCTGATGATGTTCCATGTAAAAGTCATGTTGGTGCCCTCTTTCAGTCCTGCTTGAAGGTGGAGAACTCTGTTTGTAGCATAACAACAACTATCCAACCCTGCACTCCCACCGCCTTTGATGTCCTCTGCTAAGATCTGCAAACCTTCCAACGCACGCTGAACAAACAAGAAGATGCTTGCCTGTGCTGTCCCAATATCATTCTCTGCTATCACGATGATGTTAAAAGTGCCAATAGAGCGAAAGGTGTAGAACATCTTGTTGGTCCCTGGGATGGATGTGCAACGGTCACAGAGTATCCAAGAGTACCGGACATCATCATCACTCTCATCTTTGTGGGCCTCAAAGTGGACCAAGCCATTCAGAGGAACATTTATTAAAGTGGCATTGACTTTCAGTCCTTGAATTGGTGCAAGCACGGTAACCTGTAAGACAGTGCTGTTCTGACTAACAGTGTTGGCTGCTTTCAATGTGATATTGTACTTTCCAGAGAAGTTGTAAGTATGAAGGACATTCTGGCCTGTGAGCATTTTTCCATCTCCAAAATCCCAGGTGTAAGTGACATCAGAAGCCAAAGAAGACGTCATGAAGGTATATGGGGCTCCAAGTGTCAGATTGTTGTATTTTGTGCCATTATGATGAATAAAAAGTGGTCCAACTGGCATCAGAACATCGATTACAGTACTTCTACTATCTGCAGATATGTTATTGAAAACATGCACTGTCACTATATAATGGCCAGGCTTTTCATATGTTGTGCCAATGTTCCCAGAGCTGTGGATGTGTGTCAGTCCTTCCTCTCTACCAAAGTCCCATCGATAGCTGAGATTAAACTCAGGTACAGTTCTGACTTTGAACTGTATTTCCTCTCCGACAACATAGTGTGACTTCTCAGGAATGAAGCTGATGTTGGACAAAACCGGCTGCACACAAACCCAGTTGAAGAAATTGGCTTTTGTAGCCTTGTTAACTCCACTGGACAGGAGCAGAGAGAGGCGATATTTCCCACTTGTCCTGTAGACATGTGACACTTTTGGGCTGCCTTGGTGTGTTTCATTGGGGCTTCCATCCCCAAAGTTCCACTGATATAGATGAAGTGATGAATTACCAGACACCCAAGCCTGAAAGTTGACAACTGTTTGCTCTTGGACACATCCTGATGGCTCCATTTTTATCACTTGAAAGACAAAGACGTGAACTAAAAGAGTGGTCCAGCCAGAGCTCACAGCATTCATGGCAGTCACGTTTACAGTGTAGTTGCCTTCCTTGATGTATTTGTGAGACAGGTGAGGTTCAGATGGAGTATAAAGGGTGCCATCACCCATTGAGAATGTCCATGTGATGTTATTACCAGAACCAAGGCGTGCCCACACTGTAGTGGAACTGTGCAGCTCTGTGGGAGAGGAGCTGTAAGCCATCAGATCCTCTATCTCCTCATACACAAACCTCTTGGCACACGCCGAAGTAGAACTGATGGTGTTATTCACCGACACGCAGACAGTAAAATTGTCACATTGTGCAAAGGTGTGCGGCACACGTCGGCCATACTTAAGTGGGGTGCCATCTCCAAAGTTCCATTCGTAGTGAATGCCATATGCTGAAGGCAGAGGGTGAGCTTCAAAAAAAGCTGATTTTCCTGCCAGGAGAAGCTGTGGTTCGGTTTGTATGTCGACATGTGTGAGGATGCTGTAAACACTCATGCTGATGTTCTGACTGATGTTCTCATAACGATTGGACACAGACACCTGTGCCATGTATATTCCTGTAAAAAAACAAGGAAACAAAAAGAGAATGAGTTACACGATACAAGTTCTATTTTATCCCTCCTGACCACCAGAGGGCAGTGCTGAAAGAACTGAATGTTCCCTTCGTACATGTGCCGTTCGAGTAAATAATATCAACAAAGTCACAGCTGTGACTCGTCGGATGATTACCTTGAACCAATATAGGCCGGTAACATCTGAGGCTCTGCTCCTTTTTTCTTCTCGCGTGTGGTTCGCATCTTTGCTTGGCATTAGCCTTTGCAGAGTTTGGATCACTTCATTGTCGCTGGATGACCCGTTGGCTGGAGTTGCAAAGTTCGCCCTTCTGGGCTGCAATGAATGAATCTTCAGAGGTATATGCTGTTTGCTGGTGAAGAGTCTTCTGTCTCCACTCCCAACTTATGGCTTTTTTTCTATGGTGTATTTATATGGTGAAGGTAGCAATTTTTTGCACCCTCTCCCAGTTCCAACAAGACTTGTTTTGAGTTGAGCTAACGGTGTTAGCCTCGCTTTGTTTGCCGTTTGCTTGTGATAGTCCTGCTTTACGGTTTTCCACCACTTCCACTGATTTGACCCACTCTTCAGAGAGTGCCCAGGTTATTGCTGGTGACTCCATACTGGTCAGTGTGGCCATGGTTCCCACTTCTACGGAGGCTGTGTCACAGCATCTCATGATGTCTTTCGACCAGGAGTGACCTGCTGACTAAGTTGGAAGGTCAGATATGGCATCAGAATCCTCAATGTCACTCTCCCTCAAAACTCCAGGTGTATGTGGCAGCAATATTGTGTGGCTAGCATTGATGGCCCACAATGGTCAGTCTTAAATTAGTTTCTCTTTTCCTGCGTGGTGCTCGTAGGCTGTGCCCATCAGCAATGCTGTGGACCCCAGTTGGGGATTTGCCCTTGGTGTTTGAAGCCCTCTGCTCTCCATTTGAGCATCTGACGTAAGCTGGCCTCAAGTGGCTCTCATGTAAGACTGTTTTCTTGTTAGCTATTGTCTCAGCTAAGAGGATTGGCGAGCTACATACTCTTTCTGTCAGTACCTCATGTCTCAGATGGGAACCAAATGACTCTGGTGTTACTTTGTGGCCAAACACTGCATTTCTGCCCAAGGTTCTATCCCGTTCTCATTGTAACCAAACATTGAGATTGGCACGGTTTCAGTCTACGTCAGGGGCGGCTGGGGAGAAGCCTGAGTTGGTGTGCCCTGTGAGGGTGTTGCAGGCATACAGTATTGGGAGACTACTGCAGGTGTGAGACACTCAGACCAGCTGTTTGCGTGCTATGGAGGCCCTAAGTTGGGTCATCCTCTTTCCAACCAGCGTCTCTCTCATTGGGTTGCCGACGTCATCTGCCACAGCTACAGTGCAGGAGGCTGCTGCCTGCCAATTGGCGTGAAGGCACACTCTACCAGGAGTGTTTCAGCTTCCTGGGCAGCTATGAGAGGGGTTCCGCTGGAAGTGATATGTGCTGTGGTGTCCTGGGCCTCCCTGAGCACATTTACCAGATTTTATTATGTCAATACGGCTGCCTCTCATCTTCTGGGCCAGGTGCTGCTTCAAGGATTCCCTGGGCTTCCTGTGTGAGGTATGTGCTCAGGATTCTTTGTGACATCGTTGGTATTAGTCATTCAGTACTTTTAGCACCGCCCTCTGGTGGTCAGTAGGGATGAAATAGAACAGAAGTTACGTATGTAACTACGGTTCTATGAATCCCGAATGACCACCAGAGCTTCTCTGTCGCCCTGAATCCTTGCATGTCACGGGAAAATTCTGTAGGAGCATAGCCTTGGATGTTACCGGCCTATAGCGGTTCAAGGTAATCAACCAGCGAGTCACAGCTGTAACTTTTTTGATATTATTTTCTCGAATGGCGCATGCATGAAGGGAACATCCAGTGCTTTCAGCACCGCCCTGCGGCGGTCATCCGGGATTCATAGAACTGTAGTAACATACGTAACTTTCCTTTTAAAGACTGTACAGAAAATAAAATTGGCTTTTGCTATAAAAGTTGACATGAAACGACAGAAATGAAATAGTTAACAAACCTCTCCCAGCTAAAACTTGCTCAGAAAGTGAACATTTTAACTTTACTATGATACCTTACCAAGAAATGATGTCACATTGAAACATACAAAACTGGGCAAAAATTTCAAACCACTCCTACTTTTCTGAAATGTTGTTTTCAAAGTCAAACTTTCTTGTTATCTGTTAAAGTGGACTTGAACAATAGTTCTCCACTGTATTCATCACACAGCCCATCTGACTCAAAAGGAGTGTGCCTAATACTGTACAAACAGAAGGTGGGGGGGGGGGGGGTTCTGTAGTCACTCAGTGGGAGTTTCTTGTTCTGTGGGAGGAGTTTGTCCAAGACATGATGGCTGTGTCCAAAACGGCAGGACGGGTCCTCCGGAGGACCCAGACTCCCCGGTCTCGGTGGGCCGGGTCCTTGGTAGACCGGGAAGACCGGAAAAAAAGAGGCTGTGGATTTGGACGGTCTAGCCTCCCCTCCTTACCCCGGTGTATGTCATGTCTCCTAGCAACTGTGACGACGCTAAACAAGCAAACTTAAATCAAAACTAGAAAATTATCAATACATTAGCATAATTAATATCACAAAACTATAAAATTAACTTAAAAGTATCATTTGAAGAACTAATTGACCCCCTGTAGGTTCATGTTTATTTCGCGTTTTTTATGACGAAAAAATAATATTTAAAAACATGTCCATACAAATGATAAAAGTATTAGAATTACAACCGCTAATTTTTTTTAATTTTTAAATCACCATACTTTTATTTAAAATGTATTCTTTTCTCTCGCTTCGTCCGCCATTACTAGCATTAAAAATCTCCGGTCGGGCCGCAATGCATTATGGGATATGCTGGGCCGGGAAGGATCCATCAGACCTGTCCTTCGATTCGGGGAAAAAGAAGGACGTATTTGTTGGACGCATCGGAGGAGTCTTCCGTTTTGGACGTCCTTCGTCGCGGCGCTGTGACGTATGCGGCCGACAAATTCGACCTTCGGAGGACCCGTCCTGCCGTTTTGGACACAGCCATGATTGTTCTGTTTGACTTTTGTGGACGTAGTTAGTTCAAGACCTGATTGGTCAAACTGATTATGCTGGGGCAGCTGGCGGTACATGTAGCTCCGTAGAAACTACAAGGAAGCACCTACATTTTGAAACACTATCATTAGACATAACTTGAGAGAGGAAGGTGTTAACTGCACGAAATTTGAATGCCGTACATGAGGATGCATGTGTAGCAATTTGGCTCAGTTAAAACAGCACTAACTGGCCTGGAAAAAGATGGCTATTTTTGAACACGATTATTAATTATTATTCGTCATAACTTGGGACAGGAAGGTGCTAGTCGCACCAAATTTGAAGTTGATAAATTGTTCGCAATTACTTTTATTTGTGACATTGTTCTGTTATAAACTATAAAAAATAAATTATATTTACACGTTTACAATATTTTACTTTTAACATTACTTCATCTTTTAACTTGCCCCACAAGACAAGTCAATCCAACCAATTATGGTTTTACCAAACCTCAGCCTATACTACAAACTCCGCCCACACAGACAAAACACTCCCCCTATGTACTGCAGAGACCCCTACTTGAGTGAAAATGGAGCCAATGTGAAAAAAAACAAACAAAAGAAAAACTTTGAAAAACCATCTGAAAGCTTGTGGAACTATTATCAAGACCACTTTAACAAATCTGACTCATTGGATGAAAAAAAAGAATATTTTGTGGTATTTGCCTTATAAACAGGTGAAATGAATTAGATTTATTTAAACTAGCAAACAAAAGGAAGGACCCTTAAATGTCTGTTAACCTTGTCAAACAGCCTCAACATTCTGTGGAAAAAACCTGACCTCCCAAGTTTTCAGTGCATAATTTGCACTGTTTTTTCTGACTGGTCAGAAATGAGGGATTACCTGGCTGAGAGTAGATATAGGTGATGTTTTTACTCAAGAGAACTTGATTAGGAGAGTCTGGACAGAGGAGGGATGACGAATAAGGAGGCTTGAACTCAAACTCTTCATATCCAAATTCACCAAAATTACATCTACAACAGATAACAGACAACAAAACCAAGACCTTTAAAACAAATACATGCTTTTTTAAAAACAAATCTGAAGTCTAAAGTGTGATGGTGATGATAAATTCATGTCTCCACAACATGAGCAATACAACACACAAATACACACACCTTTTTAAAAGTCAGAAAAGTAGTTGCTTTTTTTTTAACAATAGAGGGTTTGAAGAAATGGAAACAGATCTCATGGGATCTCTCTAGACTAAGAATATTATGTAAAAGGGGGAAAAGACAGATTGTTTCAAAGCCTAAAAGGAGGAAAGGGGAAAAAGAGAAGCAAAGAAGTGGAGGAAAAAAGGAAAAGTGCAGAGGGAACAGCCACACAGAAGGGAAAATTCTTGTCAGCAAACCTCCTTACCACACAGTCATAAAACGAGGACTATGTTTTAACTTCACTGCTCCAGTAATATTATGGGGAAGACCATAACAAAAAATTAAAAAAATGAAAAAAAAAAATAAACAGCTAAAAGAAGCAAACAGATGCACTGTTTTCTTTTAACTTCTTTTTAAAATAACAAGAAAGAATAAAAGACTCAGAGTAATTGTAAAATGATGAGGTGGTCCTTCCTATACTCCTTGCTTCATACCTGAAAGTAGCAGTAACAGACACGTCCACGAGAGCAGAGATGGTGAGAGTCTGTTTTGAACCCTGAGGGACCACATCTGGTACCCCTTTCACTGTGAGGTTGGTCATGGGCTGCAGCCGATCCACGGTCACGTTGAAATGCTTCGTGATGCTGCTGACGTGGTTCGTGGCCGTCACCTGGAACAGTTGCCAAACATTTGGTAAGAGGCTGTAATCCCGTGTTACATTTAAAAGTTTACTGTACCTAATATAAGCAGTCATAATAGGTGCAAATACACAATGTGATCAATAAAGAATCAGTCAAGAGCTGTGAACCTTCTGATTAAAGCTTGATTAAAGGAGTGAATTTTGCACACTGCCTTGCATGCCAAAGTTTTTTTGCAAAGACCTTGTGTGATCTCATTGTGCTCTAAGTGATGGAGGTGACTCTCATCTACTACCACACGAAAATGTCGTTGATTATCTAGTTGTAGTTTTACACCTATTGGTTTTCATAAAAATCTGTCCACTGGTTCATGAAATAAACACACACAGATGGTCACTTGCCTTTTCCAGCAGCAGGTAATTCAAATTTAAGAAAAAAAAAATGAAACGGTAACTAGTTCAGGTTTTGTTTAGTTCTCTATTATAACAATAATAAATATGTTTGTATTTTGTTCTACTAAAACATTGCAAATTAGATGATCTGACTAGAATAAGAAAACATTTGGCAGATGCAAAGCAACATATAAAGATATAAAAAATGCAATCTATGACAAAACAAATTCTTAATTTCAACTTCAGTCAGAAAGCTTCTTCCATTTAATATTCATGCTGTATTAACACATATAGTAGTGTTGTCTAATGCTTCAATTTGAACCATTTTTAAAAACCTATTTTGTTTATAAGTAGTCACCCTTTCTTGTATTTTTTTAAAATACTGCTGATCAATAGCTTTTCAGCCTTGTTGAAAACATTTAGTCTCCAAACCATTTTTTTATTGCTTGCTTTTTAAACAAAAAACAACAACAACAACCTTATTCTGACTCAGAATCATTCAGGCATAAAAAAGGTTCCTAAAATCCATGCCTGACCTAATGTTATGTCTACATCAGAGGAGCCCAAAGTGGGGCCCGCRGGCCAAATTTGGCCCGCCAAGCCATTTGATTTGGCCCACCAGCAGTTGCCAAATTTACAAGGTTGTAACTTGTTATCCTATAGGTAGAAACACAGTGTTTCCATTGGTCAAATGACTATATAAAAGGGCTGTAGTGAAGGTAGTTTTTATTCATGGTGCTGACATATCTTTGATTTGTTAGGATTAAACAAGAAACATGAAATGACAACAAGAAATATTTAGATCAGATTTAACCCGACATGTAGATTTACACACTTTATAAGGCCACAAAAACTCATATTTTATCAATTTATAAAACGTCCCATGAGCCTTTGCTACTTGAGCGTATGGCAGACTTTCTCCAAATGCACAGACTAAAACTAAAGAGGGCCGTTGCACAGCTTAATGGTTAAAAATAAAGGACTTTACTAAAAAAAGTATGTGTATTTCATGTATTATATTACTGCATTTGGCCCGCAGCCATGGATAGATTTTCATTTTGGCCCCCTCGGGGAAAATGTTTGGGCACCCCTGGTCTATGTAGAAACACTGTGACAAAAGACCAATTTTACATAGTACGATTTAATACTTTTTCATTATAAGCCTATTGCTAAAACATAGAATTTGTTGAATTCACCCAAGTGTATCTACTTAAAAATGAAAGATAACAATTTGAAATGAAATTCAAATTAGTTATTTTTCCTCAGTTTAAGAATAAATAGATGAAGTTGATGCATCACTCATAGCATGTCACAGTTTTAGTGAAGTTTTATTTTTCCTTTTTCTTTAAGACACGTTTCAAAAACTGTTCATTCAATAGTTTTCATGCATTTCTTGCTCCACTTATCTAGTTTTCTAAAACTCTTTATGCTTAGTCAAGATATACAAAAACTTTGAAAAGGCTGAAAAACTATTGCTCAAGACCTAGTGGCTGAGAGGCAAAATATTCAAACATTAATGGTCTAAAAAGTTTAAAGAAACAAAGGGGTATCACAAGACTTTTGTACAATACTTTGGATTTTTATGCTTTTCAAAAACCTATATTTTTCACATGCTGGTGGGTGTTCTCTCTCCACTTATTCACTTTTTGGTCGGTGTCTGTGTGTACTTTGCTAAAAAAAACTATTTGTCAGTACAGCAATTTGTTGAAATGAAGTTCAGAGTAAAACTCACGGTGAGTTTGTAGATGGCAGCATGCTGGTAGATGACATTGAGGACTGTGTTGTAATAGGTAAAATATGGCTTGTCGTCCACAGTCCATTTAAATGTAGGATTGGAACCTTGAAGCACAGATGCACTGTAACTCTAAAACACAAGAGCAGTGCAGTAATTTATACACTTTTAAACACAGTTTATTAGTACAAATGATAGCTACTATTTGAACACAAACTCACCACCACCGACTCCATCAGCACCCTGTTTGTGGGCTCGGGTTGCACCATCAGACCCCCGAGTGGCACCTCCAGCTGAACAACCACCATCAGGCTGTCTTCGGTCACATTATTGTGGGCCTCCAGCTCCACCTGAACCGGGCCCCCCTGTTCCTCTGATCCCAGGCTCAAATCCAGAACTGCATACAGGCTGGGCTCTGAAACGGTGACCTCTGACACCGAGCTCTGGGCAGGCTGGGCGAGTGTCAGAACGGACAAAAATTCAGGGGGGCATTCTGGTTGGAAAGTCACACTGTAACGGCTCCCACGTCGAGAAGCCGTGGTTGTGTGGCGAGACTGCACGCGGAGCAGAAGCCGAGTGTTGTTGGGTTGCAGGTAGAGGGTCCCGTTCTTCAGAGGCGGGTGGAGGATGGTCATGCTGAGAGGAGGAACAACCCAAAGTGGGCACGATGCTGAGGATGGGTACGATGGCTCAACAGAAGAAACCTGTGGGTAAATTCTCACAGTTAATGTCCTGATGCATCTCAGTAATCCAGGTAGACAAAAATCAAAAAGAAAAAATAAGTAGGTCCTCTGGATGGGTTCTTCTTTAGTGAAATGTTTCGTCTCTCCTCCAAGAGACTTCTTCAGTCTGAGAGTTTCAGGTGAACTCAGCCTTACAAGCACTGCCTCCACACGGACAAACAGGCTAGTCACATGCAAAAGAGTACCATCGCCTAACAATAGGCTTGATTAGCTAATCAAGCCTATTGTTAGGCGATGGCCACCATGTGGAGGCAGTGCTTTTAAGGCTGAGTTCACCTGAAACTCATCAAACTGAAGAAGTCTCTTAGAGGAGAGACGAAACATTTCACTAGAGGTGTCCCGATACCGATACCAGTATCGGTATCGGATCCGATACCAGCATCAAGTACTCGTACTCGTACTCGTAAAAGCCAGCCGATACTCTTAACCGATACCGCTTTTGTCCCCTTTTTTGTTCCTCCTGTGCTGCGCTGCAGTCGGATAAATCGGATTTGTCTCGTTCAGACTGTCATAAAAAAATCTGATATGAGTCAGATGGGTCAAAAAAAATCGGATTTGGGTCGGATTTTCCTGCAGTGTGAACCAGAGTTTGCACTACCTTTTTATTGTCAAACATAATATTTACCCATCAATTTTTACATGATAATTGCATTTCATTTTCATTCTGTTTAATATTCAACAAGTTGAACAGATAATCCACCCTAACCCCGCTACTTGGTATTGGTATCGGTATCGGCGAGTACCTAAACTGAAGTACTCTCTCTCTCTCTCTCTCTCTCTCTCTCTCTCTCTCTCTCTCTCTCTCTCTCTCTCTCTCTCTCTC